GGGACTTGAGCTTCTCTCAGAGCCACTCTTCTCTGCCTATTCCCTTGTATCTGCCTGTGCGTTGGTTTCATTCTCTCCTCCTGGGGATGGGCTACAGTAGCTCTGATTTAAAGCTGAACAATCAGAGACAAAAAATAACTCTTTTCCACCAACTTGTTAGTAGAATATCATGGGTAAGGTCTTGGATTGTCTGGCATGGGTTAACATTCCCTACCCTGCATGGTCAAGGGCTGTGATTGGCATGGGAAAGAAGCAATTTTCTCAAAGAACTGGTTCTATATCCAGTAGGAGAAATGAATTTAGAAAACGAAGAAGGCATTCACTATAGGATACCTATACATCACCCAAATGATACTATATAATAAGCAATTGAATTATAAGTTAATATTTAAACTTTTTGAAGGATATTTATCAAAATACTATCATCGAACACTCTGATACATGGTTCTATATTCTTTTATTATAAAAATTTTGATAATATTAAGAGAGTTCCTTGCCATTTACAAAACTCTTTCTCTCTCCCTCCCTGTAACCATCAAAACAATGCATGAAAGAGTACCAACCCTATTTTACAGGTGACATGGAGCTAAGACACAGAGAGGTTAAGTGACTTGTGGAGCCAGTACTTTGGAGTCCGAGTCTTTGGATATTAAATTTCATGTGTAGTGTGGCTACAAATTTAATGCACATCTTAACTCTGAGGTACAGGTCTAGTCTTGCTAGTACCTAGTCACTTTTCAGGGGGCTGAGTGTGGAATGAATGAGGAGAGAAGTGTAAGTCCCATTTGGTTAAAACTTAGCCCACACATATAATTTAAATACTTCTTTTAGGTAGGCTCTGTATGTGGGGAAAATTAAAGTGTTCACTAGCTCTTCCTCCCCCATAAAATGTCACTTTATTACATGGAATAAAGTATGTGGTTCATAGCAGTGTTTGATTAAGGGGAGGACAGTGTCCTCTGGCTCTACTGGACACTGGGGCAACGTCACTTGTCCACCCTATGGCTGGTGTCTTCTTCTTTCTGCTTGGCAAGAGCCCTGTACCAACCTGATTAAGTACAGAACCCCTCAGCCCTCCCTGAGGCTAGCGAAGCCTTGAAGATCTGACTGCTCCTCCCATCTGCCTCAACCCGGAAAATATGCTCTGCAACCTTTTCTTAAAACCACTATTCCCTTTGATAAAGTCACTCCTATGGATAAATTCCCTAGCTGGACCCTCAGCTAAGTCTGATACTTGTCTCTACCACCAGGACTTAAGGAAGGCTTAGACAAACTGAAAATTCGAAGCTTCTCAGCCTGACCATACAGCAACACCAAATTCTTTTTAGGTTTGGTGACATCTTCAGCTGGTATAGGCCAGCTGAATGGATGAGTTCCAACTAAGGAACACAGGTGGAAGAGCCCCCTTCCTCTGGGTTGCCCTCACTCCTCTAAAACTCATCCCCTTCTTGGCTTAAGCTCAGAGAAGAGAAAAATAGGGACATACAGCGATCGTACCTCTTTCCTACTCTACCTCTCCCCCATCCTCCCATATGCCCTGCACTGCAAGGGGTGAGGTTTTCACTAGTGCTTTTCAAAGTTCAGTGCACATCAGAATCACCCAAAAGGACTTGTTAAAAAGAAAAAGAAAAAAAAATAGATTGCTGAGCCCTATCTCCAGGGTTTCTGCTCTAGTAAGTCCAATGTGAAACCGGGGAATTTGCATTTCTAACAAGTTCCCAAGCCATACTGATACTGCTGGTCTGGGGACAACACTGAGAAGCAGTGCCACAGGTCATTCTTCCCCTCCAACCTGTGGCTAACTCGTTGCAAACAAAGGGATGTTTTCTACAGCTTGAAAAAACCCTATGCTTTAAATCCTCTTGATTAAGGGTGTTCTCTTTCTCTTACGTATGAGGAGAACTTTAAGCTATGGATCTTACAGGCTTAGCCCTTGATTCGTTAAATAGAACCTAGCTTAATTTCATAAATCTTTTCTGAAACTAAAATGCCTGGTTTTACTGCATCCTATTAAATATTTCATGTATCAGAAGCTGAACATTACTCTGTACATTCCTGTACGTCTTTGCATTCCCGTATGACAATCCTAGCATACCTACAGATAGATGGACATCCTTAGCTGAGTGAGGAGCAAGTCACAGTCAGAAAGAAAAAGAAAGAAAAAAAAAATCACATTATTTTCAAAAATCTACCCCTTAGATATATTTTTTGCCACTGGAATTGTAGAAAAATCCTTTCTTTCCAAACAAATTTTCTTCCTTCAGTTATAGCTACATACTCATGGTGCCTCCTCTCTGGACACAGAAGCTGAATACTTAACTGGAGGTTCCTTTTTGTTGTTTCTTTTAGCTGATATTTTCTAGATAACTGTTTCTCTTAACCAACTCTAGTCCTCTTTATTCCTGGATTCTTGTTCTTTTGCATGCTTCTACAATTTTTAAGAAAAAAACAAACGAAAAATTGGAAGGTGCCTGTGTCTTTCGTTACCTACCAACACAAGCACTGTGAAAGTTTGTTTTGAAAAAGTCATCCTTTCTCAGCTGTCCTGGAGGGAAGGGAAAAGGTTTGTATCCAAGTTTTATGAGAAAGAAGCAGGGCCCTAACCCAGAATTAGGTGGTGTCCAGGATAACTAAAGGAGAAGCCCTGTTCTCAAGTGGGAGGATGCAAAAACAGAAAGGGGTGTTTGGGGACTAATTGGGCAACTATCCTTCTCCTGACTAAAGCTCACTAAGGAGAGGGAGCAGGGATGGTGATCCTAATTTGGATAGCTTGAGGATTTCCTCCAAAAGTCCCTCTGTTCCCAAAGTGCTTATACAATTTTTTTTTCAGGTTGTCATTGGTCTCCAGATGTGCCCTTACAAAGGCCTATCCTCCTAGTAGGTATGCCACATCCAGAACAAGAGCATTTGGACAGGACAAAGGAGTAAAGGCAAGCATAGCTCATGAGTGCTACCCAGAATAGGTGAACCCAGGTTTGGGGTCCCCTGGAAGCCAGAAAACAGCATGAGGCTGTGGGAGAGCAGGGAAGAGCTAGAGCTAAAACTCCAAAAAGAGCAGAGGCAGGTAAGGTATCCTCTACACTGGTAAGGCTCAGAAGCTGCTAAAATAGCAGCATCTCAGACTCCATTCACATCTGAGGGTCATAACCCTGGAGTTGTGCAGTGCACAACCTGGGCAGCCACATGCAACAGCCCCTGTCCTTTGAAGGCCAAAATAAATCACTAAAAGGAGGAGAAATTGAGTGCTCGTGGGTCTCAATCTCTCTCATTCTGTACAAAATGAAGCCTCCCTGAGAAAATATTAAATCACAAGAATTGCCAAATTGGACGAAAACTGGCATGGTTTTCTTGAAAAGCCTTAATTTATGAGGTTAACTGCCAGAACTGCACACAGCCTTCAGGCTGAACAAGGACAAAAACATCCAGCCTTCAACTGCTGGCCTTGCTTACCTAAAGCTTTTAAAGAGAATCAAATAATAAGAGCCAAAGACCAGCAGGGGGAAAAAATGTTTTTCCACTGAATCCTAGAAAGGGCTACAGTAGGAGAAGACCCCAGTTAGAGGAAACTGACGCACCCTAGTATGTATCTGAGACAGCCTCCCTCCAGAGAGTTCTACAGCACCTCCCTCTTCTCCAGGAGGCCACTGAGCTCCCATCTGGGACCTGGGTGTCCTACTGCACTCCTCCAATTGACTATTCTCTGTCCATGGAAGAACATCTGTGATTTTTTCACTGTGTTCAAAAACAATGCAGCAAAATTGTCATTAGCAGTTTATAGAAAGACAACTGTGTCAACAGGTCAACTTTCCCGACTGTGCTGTAAACTAGTACTAATTAGCCAGGTGACCTTAGGCAAGTTGCTTCTCTCTGGCCTCAGGCTGTTTACCTAAAGAATTGGGGATCAGACTTTGTACTATCTATAGATAGTCCAGCTCTAGCACTGCATTCTGTGTAAGATTAGTCCAGCTCTAACACTGCATTCTATGTAAGATTCTCTATCGTTCTTTCCACATTTTTCCCACGCCTATACAAAACTTACCATTGCTCTTATTTGATGAGGGCAAGAGTCTTTGCAAAGGCAAACATAAGAAGGAAATCAGACAACCACTTCTGACATAGTCTCCTGTAGAATTTCTTTGTAAAGTTCACCCTCAGTGTCTTTCATTAAACATCAGGCACAAAACTGCATGTATAAAATTAAAGCAATCTACTGTCCAGCAATCTGTAAGCATCTTTTGAGCTGAAGCAATTTGTTGTTCCCCTATTCTGTGCACAGTGAGACCTCTCTGAGCCTCTCTCAAAAGGCAGGCAATCAAAAGGCAGAAGTCTTATCTCACCTCACCCCACTAGGCATTGTGGCAACCCCTCCACCCATCATGTTCAAGCAGGAGTTAGCAAAGCTCTGTCTACTCTTCTTCACCAGCACTTCAACCTAGGGGCAGGGTCTACTGCAGCTTGCCAAGTGGAATATGGACCAAGCCAGAGCAGAAAGACATTGTGCTTTCAGGTTCTGAGAAGATATGATGAACAATGAGAAGCCCTTTTGAGCGTCTTGGGCCCTACCTTTTAAGTTTCCATTCAGCCTGGGATGAATTCGAGCTGCTCCAGGAAGATATCTGCTCTTTCCATCTTCCTTCCTGGGCTCTTGTTTTCCTGGGAGTTGCTAAGGATGCTCATGAAATTCCCACCCCATCCCTGCGTTCTTTTTGTGACAGCATCACTCTAATCCATTGAATAAGCTCTGTCATAAAGAATAACAGACAGCAAAAAAACAGATAACACATATTGATCAATTCCTATGTATTTCAGGTGCGTGCCTGGTACCTTCTCAAGTTATTTTCACAATAACCCTATCAGGTCAGTACTGCCTTAACTCCACTTTACAGAAATAACACCAGAAACCAGAGAAATTAATTCTCCCTCTTTCACACAGCTAATAAGCAGAATTGGGATTTGTCTTAGTCTATTTTTGCTGCCATAACAAAATACCTGAAGCTGGGTGATGTATAAAGAACAGAAATTTATTTCTTACAGTTCTGGAGGCTGGAAAGTTCAAAATCAAGGCACCAGCAAGTTGGGCGTTCAGTGAAGGCTGCTGTCTGCTTGAAACACAGAGCCTTGTTGCTGTGTCCTCTGGAGGGAAGGAACTCCGTGTCCTTACAGAAGGCAAAGGGTAAGTGAACTGAGCAGCCCGTGAATGCTCTTTATAGAGGCCTTAATCTCATTCACCTGGAAGGTGCCCTCATGTCTCTTACCTCTTAAAGGCCCCACCTGTTAAAATCATCAAATCAGCCATTAAGTTTCAACACCTGAGTTTTGGAAGGAACACATGCAAACCATAGCAGAATTAGAACCCAGGAAGTCTGAGGACACAGCCTGCATGCTCTAGTTCTCTGCTATGCTGTGTAAGCCAGACCTTTCCCATGTCCCGGCTTCAACAACCTTTCCCCATAATTGGGGTCGCCTAAGGTTTGCCTACGGGCTTCAAAGAATCTAGACCCAACCTTGATCTCAGGGGTAGGTAGTAAAGGAATTATTTGTATGGCTCTGTATACATACACATAGTACCAAGATACCTTTCCTTGTGGCTCCAGCCTTGATTACGTGCTCTAAATACACAGCTAAGTTCCTTACTTATTCCTGGGCCAGAGTCCCTGTTGTAAATTATTTGTTACTTACATAGCCCTTAACTCATTCATTGCACAAATATTTTTGATTACGTATTACATGCCAATCATGAAAAAGAAAAAACACAACCCATTAACAAATATGTTATATCCATTTTACAGATTGGAAAACAGAAATTTCCTGCCACCCCACATCTAGTAAACAGCAGATCTAGCACTTAATTCCAGGTCTTCCTCTTTAAGAAATTTGGACCCTGCCTTATTCTTGCCACTCTTCTCCTTGACGCTTATATTGTTTTCCAAACAACCAATTCTCTAATTTTCTGACAGCAAATGAGTGTCCAAGTCATTTCTGACACTGACCATCTAGAGTTGGTGCAAACTCCACAAGTCTCCGTTCCACGAGATGCCAGCTGCAAAAGGAGTCCCCAAGACACCTGTCTCGGACCAGTCAATTACAAGTTCCAGGGTTCCCATGACCTGTCCTCAGGTCCAAGGATTTGCTAAAACGACTCAGAGAACTCAGGAAATCTCTATACTTATTATTTCAGTTTTCTTATAAAAGCTACAACTCAGAAACGACCAAATGGAAGAGACACATAAGGAAAGGTATGGGTTATGAAGGGAACGTGCAGAGCTTCCACGCCCTTGGCAGGTGCACCACTCCCCCAACATATCAGTGTGTTCATAAACCAAGAAGATCCTCCCTAGCCTTGCTGTTCAAAAGTTTTTTTATAAAGCCTTCCTTATGCTGACATGATTGATTGAACCATGGCACTGATGATTAAACTTAATCTCCAGCCCCCCTTTCCTCCCTAGAGGTTGAAGAGTGAGGCTGAAAATTCCAATCCTCTAATTACAATGTGTGGCCAGCCCCTCCCTTGAAACTATCTGAGGTGCCACCTTGAGTCTTCTCATTAGCATAAACTCAGATATGGCAAAATGGGGTTCCTTAAGAATAACAAAAGACTGTCCGGGTACTGTGGCTCACACTTGTAATCCCAGCACTTTGGGAGGCCAAGGCAGGCGGATCACCTGAGGTCAGCAGTCCGAGACCAGCCTGGCCAACATGGTGAAACCCTGTCTCTACTAAAAATACAAAAATTAGCCAGGCATGATGGCACACACCTGTAATCCCAGCTACTCAGGAGGCTGAGGCAAGAGAATCGCTTAAACCAGGGAGGCAGAGGTTGCAGTGAGCTGAGATCATGCCACTACACTCCACCTTGGGCAACAGGCATTTCAAAATAATAATAATAATAATAATAATAATAATGACAAAAGACAGTCCAGTCAGTTAGGAAATTCTCATTTCTAAAGCTCTATGCCAGGAACTGAAGGCAAAGACCAAATTTATATATCCTTAATTGTACCATAACCCTCCAGGAACCACAGCTAAGGACTGAAACTCTGTTACCTGCCACCAGACTCCTTTGAAGAGAACGACCTGCCTAGTGTCTGTGAATGCTTCCTGGCCTCCCCATCAGTGTGTTCTGCACACCGTCAGGGGGCAGCCTGTCTGCTTACCTGGAAACTCTCCCTTCCACTAGGTTCTGTCTACTGGACTAGTCTTGCCCCAGAACCCGCAGGCAGCTATGCCCCCTACCTCCCTACCCACCCAAGCCTGTCTCATTCCAGGGAACTTGTCTCCATCCAGGACTCCCCCACCCAGGTCTGTGCCTGTAGGAGTTAACTGTGTCATATTTTGCCAGAGATGAATGTGATCCAGACATGCCCAAAGGGCATTTGACTTTGTCAATTATGAACATGGCAGACCACAGACTTTGGCAATGAAAAGGTTAGAGAAAGAATTGGGTCAGTATAAATCACAGCAAGAAAAAAAATCTATAGAGTATTAGATTTGGAGAATATTACTATCCAGTATTATTAGAACACCTATCTGGCCATGCTAGCTAGGGCTGTATCAGTGTTTCCATTATAAATCCTATTTTCAAGGGTTTATGACTTGCTGTAAAAATTCAATTGAAGCTGAGAAGCAACATACTGAGTTTGCAGTGCAAGAAGCAGTTTGATTCAAAGAAAAGATTAAAAATTGGGGAGAAATAAACAGAAATGAGAAAAAGGAAACATGTTGTCTAAAAAAGAGGAAAGCTACAGAGCTGCCCTGCTCTTGTGCCCCCATGTGAATTAAAGATGATTTTGCTTTTAGATTTGAGTTTTCACAGGTTATTAACTCTTATGTGGGAAGAGGCCTATACAGATACTAAAGCCAAATGCATTTAGCAGCATGATGTTTTCTAGTTGGGAAAGGCGTGATAGTAGCAAAGGTAAAACCTTGTTCCACAGGGGGTCCTGCAGGGAACAGTGCTCTCCCATCCCAGACTGTATTCATGAAAACCCTCGAAGGATATATATTGAATCTTTCCTGGTTTAGTAAAAGCCAGATGTGATGGTTTCATTGATGTCAACTTAACTAAGGGATACCCAGAGAGCTTGTAAAACATTATTTCTAGGTGTGTCTATGAGGGTGTTTCTGGAAGATATTAGCATTTAAGTTGGTAGACTGAGTAAAGAAGATCCACCCTCACCAGTATGGATGGGTTCCATCAATTGAGGTGATGAGAACCCAAACAGAATGAAAAAGCAGAGGAAAGGGGAATTCACTCTCTTTCCTGAAGCTGGGACATCCATCTTCTGCCCTTGGACATCAGAGCTCCAGGCTCACTCCCTTTACCCTCCCCACACTGTTCTCAAGCGTTTGGCTTTGGACTGAGAGCTATACTATCTATCAGCTCCCTGATTCTCAGGCTTTTTGACCCAGAAAGAATTACTCCACCAGCTTCCCTGGTTCTCCAGCTTGCAGACAGCATATGGCGGGACTTCTCAGCCTCCATAGTAGTATGAGCCAATTCCTACCATAAGTCCCCTCTTAAATATCTATATATACCTTGTTGCTTCTGTTCCCTGGAGAACCCTGACTAGTACAGTAGGGCACAGGAGATGCTCAGTAAGTTTATACTCTCTGATGAGGAAAACATTAGTTCCTGAAAATAAACCAGTCCTCTCTCTCTCTCTCTCTCTCTCTCTCTCTCTCTCTCTCCCTGGAGAGTACATTTTGAGGCAGGTGCTACAATTTGTCTACATCTGTGACTATTTATCCACTTATCATTTCATTATAAAATAGCCCAGAAGATACTTTACCAGCATTACCCCTAACCCATACTTCCCAAGGAGAGAATGCTTCCATTAGTTCAGAAATAGCATCTCCCAAATGTTGGAAGTGCATGCTTAGAATACACAGTTCACCGAAGCCTACCCTGCATATTTGATGATGGGTCTTTGGCCCCCTACCCCAATTTTCAATAAATAAATCTTGGGTTAGTTCAGGAGAGTAAGAAGAAGACAACATCCAGTCTTTGGGTCCAGACTTTCTCCATGGGAGGGAGTCCAGGGATGGCAATCTAATTGAAAGAAGAAAATATAAAACTTGTTTTGAAGCTGTGATTACAGCTGCTTAGATCATTTGATTGCTTAGAGGAGCTTTAAGGGAAAGCTGATAGAAATAATTAGGGGGATATTAATGCCTGTCCAATCTTTGCTGCCATTGCACAAGTGAGATTCTATATTCAGGAGGATGATCTATCTGAAACTCATGGTTTAATCTCAAGTAGAAGGGCTGAATGAAAGGGAGATAGAATTTGTTTTTAAGTATCAGTGCAGTGCCAGACAGTATTCCAGTTGCTTTCTATATGTTGTATCTTGTAAGCCTTATAAAAACCCCATGATATAGACATTAATATTCATGTCCATTTAAACAATGAGGAAATTAAGACTAACTCACCCAAGGTTAAGCCACAAAGTGGCAGAGGTGAGATTGAATCCATACCTTTCTGACTTCATAGCCTTTGATCTTTTCACATCAACTCCCAGCAATACTTGGATAAATTACAGAATGGAATTGAATTGGAGATGGTCTGAAAATTTCAAGCTTGATGTTATCTGGGATAGGACCGAGGAGAGGCCTGGTAATCATCTGCCCATAGGAAGGCTGACTTTAATTATGCAAATTCCTCGAACCTAGAAAAGTAAGGTTAAATTCAGAAAATAAAAAGCTCCTAGGATTGTTTAAATTAAAGCATTTAACCATCTTGCTAATTTTATATGTGAGCAGTCTCACTATGAACTCTGAAAGTTAAGAGCTTCCCACTTTCAAAGGCAGTGTTGGTAATTAAGCTATTGTCTCCCAGCTCCCCACCCACCCTGCTATACTCTGCTTTGCGATGTGACTGGGAGCCTGCAAAGGACATCTCTGCTTTGCCAGCCAGCACCCTGTTAGGCTTTGCCAACCAGAGGTGCTAGGAGGAAACTGGGAGACTGCAAGGGGCCTTCTGCCTCCTTCCTGCCTACTTTCTGTTCCTGCAGCAGTACTTGGTTCCAGTTTCAAATGTTTCCCACACTCCCAGAACCAGCCTTATTGTACTCCCTCTGAGATACCAGGACCAGCCAGCTGTCTGGGGCCCCTTCTCCTAAATTGTAGATTCTTTATGTATATATAAAATTTAAGTTCTGGGGTACACCTGCAGAGCATGCAGGTTTGTTACATAGGTATACAGTGCCATGGTGGTGTGCTGCATCCATCAACCCATCATCTGCATTAGGTATTTCCTCTAATGCTACCCTCCCCTAGCTCCCCAACCCCCAACAAGCCCCGGTGTGTGATGTTCCCCTTGCTGTGTCCATGTGTTCTCATTGTTCAACTCCCACTTATGAGTGAGAACATGCGGTGTCTGGTTTTCTGTTCTTGTGATAGTTTGCTGAGAATGATGGTTTCCAGTGTCATCCATGTCACTCCAAAGGACACGAACTCATCCTTTCTTATGACTACATAGTATACCATGGTGTATATGTGCCACATTTTCTTTATTCTATGAACCTCAACCCGTTACCTCTGTCCTCCCAGCTCCAGAGTCACCTATGTGACGTCTGTGTCCCCTTTGCCTTTAACTATTTAAATATCTGTTTAATATATTTCTTTTATTAAATTCTCTCTTAAAATAACTGGTGTGGTTTATTTTCCTGAATGGGCCTGACTGATACAAAGTCCCCTGGAGGAAGCTTCTTTAACCTTTTTCTGAAGTTTCAGTCTCCTTGTTGTCTGAAAATTCTTTTTTATACTGTGTCATATTAAAAATTAACCTATTCTGTCCCCAGTATTTACTTATTATTTCACTCGGAGCATGATAACTTTTCTAAGGCTCAATTTCAGTATCTCTAAATCTGGGGTATAATACCTACCCTTAAGTTATCATAGGGACTAAATTAATCTATGTGTAAATATCCAGCACAATGGCTGGTGCATATAGATGCTTGTGGTGAATATATTTATGAGCACCTGAATCAAACCTTCTTTGAAGTTGATAACTGGTGATCTTCTCAGTGAAAAAATAAAAAATAAAAAATAAAAAACCGGCTGGGCACAGTGGCTCATGCCTGTAATCCCAGCGCTTTGGGAGGCTTAGGCAGGTGGATCACCTGAGGTCAGGAGTTCAAGACCAGCCTGGCCAACATGGCAAAACCCCATCTCTACTAAAAATACAAAAATTAGCCAGGCGTGGTGATGCATGCCTGTAATTCCAGCTACTCAGGAGGCTGAGGCAGGAGAATCACTTGAACCCAGGAGGCGGAGGTTGCAGTGAGCCAAGATTGCACCATTGCACTCCAGCCTGGGTGACAAGAGTGAAAATCCATCTCCAAAAAAAAGAATAAATTCTTTTTTCACTTGATGAATTTTAAGTTGGGTTTCTCCCCTTTTCAACCAAGAATTCTGGATAACATTGCCCTCAAATTAATGTTAATTAATTTAAAATCCAAGACCCATTAAAATTTTAGTTTCAATCTGTTCTGGCTTTAGTAGAGGTAGGGTATAGCTTACCACTGCCTTAACTAGAAAAACCAGGCATGTCGCAGAAAACTCTCAAATACCCTTCAACTGTCTCTTCTTCAAGCTCAGTAATCCTAGTTGTTTCAACTTTTTGAAACACTGTTTGAAAAGTTCTTTTTGACTGCTATCTAAACCAGAACAGCACATCATGTTTTTTAAAATTTCTTGATGTAAGTCAAAGATATGAGATATGTAACTCCCCTCTCATATCGACAAAAGAAATGGCCAATGTGTCTAACCAGTGACATTTTGCCATCTCATCCAGTGGAGAGTAATGCAGAATAAGGGCCTGACTGATACAAAGTCCCCTGGAGGAAGCTTCTTTAACCTTTTTCTGAAGTTTCAGTCTCCTTGTTGTCTGAAAATTCTTTTTTATACTGTGTCATATTAAAAATTAACCTATTCTGTCCCCAGTATTTACTTATTATTTCACTCGGAGCATGATAACTTTTCTAAGGCTCAATTTCAGTATCTCTAAATCTGGGGTATAATACCTACCCTTAAGTTATCATAGGGACTAAATTAATCTATGTGTAAATATCCAGCACAATGGCTGGTGCATATAGATGCTTGTGGTGAATATATTTATGAGCACCTGAATCAAACCTTCTTTGAAGTTGATAACTGGTGATCTTCTCAGTGAAAAAATAAAAAATAAAAAATAAAAAACCGGCTGGGCACAGTGGCTCATGCCTGTAATCCCAGCGCTTTGGGAGGCTTAGGCAGGTGGATCACCTGAGGTCAGGAGTTCAAGACCAGCCTGGCCAACATGGCAAAACCCCATCTCTACTAAAAATACAAAAATTAGCCAGGCGTGGTGATGCATGCCTGTAATTCCAGCTACTCAGGAGGCTGAGGCAGGAGAATCACTTGAACCCAGGAGGCGGAGGTTGCAGTGAGCCAAGATTGCACCATTGCACTCCAGCCTGGGTGACAAGAGTGAAAATCCATCTCCAAAAAAAAGAATAAATTCTTTTTTCACTTGATGAATTTTAAGTTGGGTTTCTCCCCTTTTCAACCAAGAATTCTGGATAACATTGCCCTCAAATTAATGTTAATTAATTTAAAATCCAAGACCCATTAAAATTTTAGTTTCAATCTGTTCTGGCTTTAGTAGAGGTAGGGTATAGCTTACCACTGCCTTAACTAGAAAAACCAGGCATGTCGCAGAAAACTCTCAAATACCCTTCAACTGTCTCTTCTTCAAGCTCAGTAATCCTAGTTGTTTCAACTTTTTGAAACACTGTTTGAAAAGTTCTTTTTGACTGCTATCTAAACCAGAACAGCACATCATGTTTTTTAAAATTTCTTGATGTAAGTCAAAGATATGAGATATGTAACTCCCCTCTCATATCAACAAAAGAAATGGCCAATGTGTCTAACCAGTGACATTTTGCCATCTCATCCAGTGGAGAGTAATGCAGAATAAACAGTCTGAAAATGAATCTTCTTGCACTTCAGATCTCCTCACTCCTCTCTCATGATCACCTTGATGTTTCTTATGCATTATTAGTGAAGGACTAATCGCATTTTAATGTTGTAGACTGGAGTTTAATTGTTAGTATAAAATTTAATGGTCCTAAGTACAGGGAACTAATTGCCTCCATGAAAATTTGATGTGACTCTGTCAGGTGTCCATCTGGATACAAGAATACCCCTACGGCCGGTGAGTTCATCAGTTTGCTAATTTTCTACAAGGGATTGGATTTTATTAACTTTTCTTGCCTCCATGGCAAGCTTAATCACACAGAGATTGGCGTGAGGCTTGGGGTAACATAAACTACACCAAATGGGTGGAGTCTTTAGATGTGCTGCAACTGGAGGAAACCTGACAAAATGCTGATAGTGGCAATAGTAACAGCAACAGCCACCCATACAGGCAAATAAAAATAGATTCTTACTTTATGAACAGGAACCCCAGGCAAGTCTTTTAATATCTGTCCTCGGGTTTTTCATCTGTAAAAGGAAGTGACTGGAATAGATGTCTGAGGTCTTTTTCAGGACCAAAGTTTTGAGCTCTACATCCCAGAATGAGATTGGTTATTAAGTGATTTCACTGTATAAAAAAACATGGGGCCAGGCATGGTGGCTTACTCTTGTTATCCTAGCACTTTGGGAGGCTGAGGCGGGTAGATCGCCTGAGGTCAGGAGTTTGAGACCACCCTGGACAACGTGGTAAAACCCCTTCTCTACCAAAAGTACAAAAAATTCGCTGGGCATAGTGGCGCATACCTGTAGTCCCAGCTACTGGAGAGGCTAAGGTAGAAGAATCGCTTGAACCTGGGAGGTGGAGGTCGCAGTGAACTGAGATCACTCCGTTATACTCCAGCCTGGGTGACAAGAACGAAACTCTGTCTCAAAAAAAAAAAAAGACAAAGAAAGAAACGTTGTAGAAACCATTATTCCCATTATATACATTTTATAGTTATGTACATTTCAGCAGCAGCTCAAGGTATGACAGCCCAAACAAAAGAAAGATTTTCTTTATAAACCAGATAGTGCTGTATTCATATATCTATTCAGTCAGTCAGACCATAGTTACCAGGACTACTTTAGTGGAGAATGGTGCAGAATGTAAATCTAGAAACTCCTTACTAGAGACATAAAACCTGGAGGAACATTTCAGAATCTCATAGTTAACAGATACGAGCTACTAGAACAACAAAACAAATACTACATACCAATAACTTGTAGTCATCAAAATTAATAATAAATCATATCAAGATTCATATTACATCTTCCTATGCAATAAGTGAAATTACACATTTATAAGATACTTTCTTAGGTCAGAATTCAAGAATCTCCCAAGCTACAAGATCTGATATAAGGCCAGTTTATTTTGCAATCAACACCCTATGGAAATACTAGGAGGACAGAATGAAAGGAGGAGTGAATTTTGTGTTTATTAATTGGTGATATGATAGAGCTAAATGCAGAGCAATATTAAGGTGATACCAGCTGGGGTGTCAATCAATCATGGATACTAAGACATCAGTAGAAATTTACTTTTTTTCCATAGGTTATTGGAGCACAGGTGGTGTTTGGTTACATGAGTAAGTTCTTTAGTGGTGATTTGTGAGATTTTGGTGCACCCGTTACCTGAGCTTTATACACTGTACCCTATTTGTAGCC